GATCCTTACCTGACTCCCCTGGCATTTTGTCATATTACTTAGCTCACCACGTGTACCACTTTTATGAGTCTTTTTCTCCCCTCAAAGACTGTGATTTTTTAATTTACTTGTATCTTCCATTTCTAATGTAGTGATTCAGTAAACGATAAATGCACGAATCTGTTGCCTCTCTTTGATTCTGTTTCCTTTGTCTTACATTATCTACTAACTGGCTGATGGACTGGACAGTTGACTTTGATCTTCTATTAATTTGCCAAAAGCTTTTGAGGATTTGAAGTTCCAAAGGAGCACTGGCATAAAGAAGACATGTGCAATTAATAATTGTACGTGGTACTTTCTGCTGGCTTGTTTACTTTTTCTCTTGAGGGAGAAAATAAAGCTCTCAAGTCCTATAGCTATTGAAACAGTGAGAAATGCTTTCTAAAATTTGAACTTAGTGATTAAGCTTAAAAGACACTTCCCACCTCCCCCAATACTCCCCCCAACACATCGTTACCTTGAACATTGAGGACACTTGCCTTGGACAGGGCCAGTTGAGGAGCCATCACCTACTTAACATGCACTAGTCAGCCTGTGTGAAATATCACCCCCTGAGGCTGGGTGCTTATCTTTTATGGAACAGCTTGCAAATCCTAATTGTTTTAAACTGGCTCTGAGGAAAAGAGACTTGAGGACCAATAAATTGTAACTCTCCTACATACAAATGTGCATCATTATAATGAAGACAGTCTGATGGCTCTTTAGGTCAAATAACAAAAGAGGTGGACGTGAGCTTGTAAAGATTCACCACAAGTCCTCTTATAGGGTTGAATGTAGTTTTACTCTCTCTGGTTGGTGTTCAGGTCTGTATATGGACATTTGTTTTTGATAGATCCTTAGTGGGAGTGAATTGATGAGAGTTCATTACTTGCTCTGGTGGCTGTATGTCTTCTTTATAAGGTTCATTAAGACAGAAGCAACAATATTTATGCCTTTAAATACTGATGTGTTGGGAACAGCTAAATAAACTATTCTAAGAATTGTACCATCTGGTTTCAGACTGAGAGTGTTCTCTAAGACTCTGTAGACTTTCACCCAAGGTCACCCCTCTTAGTCCTTTCTAGAGTCTTGGAAAAAGCTCACCATCTAAAAAGCAGACAGCGTGCATATTATCACTTTCTCATCAATGAGAAATTTTGTTGTACCAGTAGGTGGTAGTAAGCTGCAGAGAACATTTACTGCTTTTTCTTCAGTTGAAAGAAATGCCTTTCTCACCTTTAACCGGGATTTAGGTGATTCAGCTTCTTTAAATTGTTCTTTAAAAATAATTAAGTAAATAAATAACTGGTTCTTGAGAGAGCTCTTCAGTCATTCTTCAACTTTAGCCACTCTTTTTTTTGTCAACAGATGTTATGCTCAAATTTCTTATGATGATGGGAATGGAGTTCTAACCCAATTGAATTTTCTTCTTTTAAATCATTAACCATAATGATAAAGATTTTTCTTGAGCATACATTTATGTTTTTCTACTAGTCTTAATAATTTTTCTTTGGGCTACAAATTGTAACTGCGATGAAAAAAATCATTCATGAACCAGTTTTAATTTGTTCCCAAAGCAAAATTTGATTGCATAAGCTATCAGTGCATATTAGTATGCCTTCATGTAGTCCTTCAACTTTCAAGTTTATTCTAGTATTTAGTATGTTTCTTTATGAGAGTCCGTTTTTGAGTCTAATGACTGTCAGCAAAATTGCAAAGGTGGAATCATATAATTGAAAAAAAAATATTCTTTTAGCTCCCAAACTCATGATAAATGGTTTCTTTGGTCAGCCAGTATTGTACAGTGTGAAACAGTAGAGACTGGCATTGTGATCCCATCTCTTGAACTCCTTCATTGGTGAAGACTAGTGACATGACCCTCCGTAGGCAGATGGTCAAGTAAGTTGCCTGGGAGAAGGAAACAACTACCAAGAACAAGGGAGTTCTGAATACAGCTTTTATTTAAACACCTTTTCCAGGTTGTCCACTTGTTACTAATCTGTTGTATTTATCTTTCTTTTAAGTATACATTATATTTTTCTTTCCACAGTTATTGTGGAAAATTCAGGGAAGATAGGAATGTTTAAAAAAAATGAAAATGACTGTAACTGCTGGATAGTAAATATACTTTTGGTATATTTTCTTCCCCTTTTAAAGTTGTCTTTTCCCGCTCCTTTAAATTTGTTTACTCACAGTTTATATTCACACACAGACAACATATAATGTATATTACAAAATGGGGACTCATGCTTTTATCCTTGCATTGCTATTAAATGTCTCCAGAAACAGACTTTTTAGAATCTGTATACTGTTTCATTGCATGAAAGGTACTGTGTTTTAATCATTGTTTTATAGTTTGAAATTTAAGTTTTTATTTTCCCTCTATTATAACTTCCCAGTAAATATCCACATATATAAATTCTGTACGTATTCCAGATGATTTTGTTAAGGGAAATTTTTGGAAATGTAGTTAGTGGGTTATAGGTACAAACTGCTCTTGATACATACTGCTTGGTTATTTTCAGACAAGTTATGTCAATTTACACATCCCCCTTAGGACAGTACAGGACTGCTCTTTTCCCTACCAACCTGGCTAACCATAGATATTATTATTTAACAGAAAAAATTTTAATGGGCTAGCAAATCATCTCATTGTTTAATTTACATTTTAGATTAGGTAGAACAGTGTGTGTGTGTGTGTGTGTGTGTGTGTGTGTTTAAATTAATGGCCATGCATACACTTTAGTTATGTGACCATTCTCAATATGCTTTTATCAGTGTGGAATAAATCTAATGCTCTGGGTACAGTTTGGGGGGAAGATTTTCAGAGGCCTGGTCAATTTTCATTAACACCAGTGATAATAGGATATACAATATTTTTTTAAAAATTAAGTTTTTAATTATAAAATAATACAGTCTCAATGGTGAATAAAGTGTGTAATTGACACTGTTTTGTGGTTTTCTTCTTTAGTCAGCTATATTAAGGGATCTTGGGAATTATTTTAATGGCTCTCCATATATTCCCTGTAGGTTCTGATTATGTGGCTGGCATGACCCTCTTGCCAATACTAGTGGCCACTCCTTTCTCTTTTGTTTCTCCCTCCCTCCATCAACTCTGTGTCTGGGGAGTCATGGTGTTGGCTGATGAGACATGGGCATCTTTTGATAAGGTTGAATCTCTGCCACCACGGCTGCCTTTTGTGTTGTGACACTTAGGGTAGGGGCTCACTCAGTTACTTTTGAGGGTCATGTTTGACCTTGTGAGTTGTCAGTAGTTAAAGAGAGTGCTCAGTTTTTATCAACAATGAAAGTAATCTGATTTCTGTTTTTATTACGGATTTTTTAATGCTTCTTCGTTCAGCATTTATGACACTTATGTATAATTAACGTGCTTAGTTGCTGAATGTTTCATATTTTATATAAACAAAAGTCCCGCGGAATTCTCAGATCAATCTCATCTTACATCTTGATGTCTCTACAGGAGTTCCATCAGATGCAGGAGTTTGAACATCTTTTATTGCTCAAAGTAATTGAAATTAATAGCTGAAGACTGTGTGTGTGTGTGTTTACCAGTGAAATTCATGCTGGAAAGTGTGATTTTCTCTTATTAAAAAATATGTAATCCCTAGTAGGGGTAAGTGAGAGGTCTTTGTTTTTCTTTTGTATTAAGTGACAGCTACACTTAATTTAGTTCATGTTTTATTTTAAATTCGGATACCTCAGTGTTTTCACTTGTTATACACATACTTTCCAGGTGCATTCAGAATAAAGATCCAGAAAGTCTAGAATATTGTAGATCATTAACAAAAGGTTTCATTACACTGCAATTAATAAACCAGAAAAAATGGCCATATAGATTTTAGGAAGATTATAACAATGTTGAAGATTGTTAACCCTCCATTAAGCAAAAAATGAAATTATTGGGATATTCAACAAACTTCCGCTTCTGATCAGTGAGTTTTCTCTCATTCTTCTCTATCCCAATATTTTTTTTCTTTAAATTCCATAAAAGATTTTCTGAAACTTTTGAGATTGTCATGCATGAAATGATTTTCTTTTGCATTAAATCAAAAATTGGGGTAAGGATGGGAAGAAAGCATATTTAGGGAATTTTCTGCTGATGAAACTATACTCAGGATGTTTGGCTTTCTCTTTTGGTGGAGATGTTGAGGTTGCCTTCTTCTCACATACTTGTTATTATGGAATTTTTACCTCTGTTAATAGCATTTAATTCTGTATTTTAAATTAAGGTTCATGAGGGGTGCCAGGCTGGCTCAGTCAGTAGAGCATGCGACTCCTGATTCACGCTTGTGAGTGTGAGCCCAACACTGGGTGTAGAGATGATAAAATCTCTTAAATCTCTAAAATCTCTCAGAGATAATAAAATCTCTTAAAAATAAAATCGTAACAAAAGAAGGTGCATGAGAGTGTTCACTGTACACTGAATGGGGTTTCTTTATTTTAGGTCATTTTGTGACTGTTGTATTTTTGTTTAAAGATAACACATGTTGTTACAACTCTGTAGAACGGACTTCAGACTAATATTGAGACCTATTAAGACCTACTAAGTCTTAGCTTAGAGAATAACTTTTTGGTTTTTCAGTTGTAGAGATGCCAATCTACGAGCACCTTCTACCTTGCAATGTTGTAAGATTACGTGAGATACTGTATGTGAGAGTGCTTTTAAAATTTAGAAACATTGCACAAAACTAAAAGAATATTATTATTTGCAGTTGTAAACATGACTAAAATCGTATCTGAGGAATTGTTCACGTGAAGTGGAAACAATGAAGGAGAGAGAATTGCGTGGGGAAGTGACCTGTATTTTCAGGCTACGTGTTTAGAAATTGTGATATGCCAAAGGACTAATGTAATAAATACTTAAGATCACGATGCAGGTAGTTAATTTAATCTCATATGTCCATGTTCTTTACTATTTGATTGACCTTGACCTGGGTTTGTTTTCAGGATTGTGTACATCAATGGCAGAATCCTCCAGCGATTCAGAACACTTTCGCTCTCGTGACCGATTGAGTCGATGGACTACCAGGTCAACATACAGGGAAAGTCTAAGTCGTCCTACAGTAGGCGTCACCGAGAAGGTCAACACTATAACGAGTACTTTACAGGTTAGTTTAACAGTGGTTGCATTTAATAGATTTTCAGTAGTTTAAACTGAGAAATAGTTTTGGTCAGTGTATTAGTTTTTTGCTGCCATAGCAAATTACCACAAACTAAATATATAATTAAATAATGATATATAATTTATAATTGTTTGTAATTAATAATTAAAATACCAAAGTTATTTTCTTATAGTTCTGCACATCAAAATACAACACTGGTCTCATTGGACCCAAATTAGGGTTCGTTAGGGCTGCATTCCTTCCTGGAAGCCCATGGGACTCTGTTCCTTTGCCTCTTCCAGCTTTCAGGGGCTGCCTACATTTTTTTGGGATCCTCTTCCTTCATCTTCGAAGCGAGCAAGGGTGGGTTGAGTCCTCACTTCACATCACTCTGACTACTCTTCTGCTTCCCTCTTCTACTCCTAAGGATGCTTGTGATTACATTGGGTTCGCCCAATAATCCAGGATAATATTCCCATCTCTAGGTCCTTCACTTGAGCTGTATATCATATCTACAAAATCTCTGTTGCCATGGGAGGTTACAAATACACAAGTCACAAGGATTAGGACTTGAATGTCTTATTGTGCCTAGCACAGTCAGTAAAGATATTTGAAATATGTGATAGGTTGTGGAAGCATTTTGGGATGAGGCAGTATGCCCAAATAAAATGTGTGGGAGTGAAACGAGTAGGAAGTACCACAGTTTAGCTTCTTGTGGTCATGTGCCTTTGAGAGTAATTGCTCATATTTTGACTAGGCAGATTATTCATGGATGAACAATATTGAGATGCCATTTTTATTTAGGGGCTAACTTTTGGCAGTTTGAAAGGCAACCTTTTAGAAGTTTGAGTGGAGGCAGTATATATCCTTTATGTAGAAAGGGCTTGGGAAAAGAGGTGGGTGAAGGGTAACAACACAGCCATACCGAGGGTGAGGGGGGGTGGGGGAAGAAAACTCAGAAATAGAGTTTTTTTTTTTTTCCCCAGCCCCTTAATCTCTTATTTTTGCTTTGCCTGGATAAGGATGGATTTTGGTTTTTAATTGCTTTGGGTTAGTATTCTTTAAAAAAAAAATTTTTTTTTTTAACGTTTGTTTTTGAGAGAAAGAGAGATAGAACATGAGCAGGGGAGGGGCAGAGAGAGAGAGAGGGAGACACAGAATCTAAAGCAGGCTCCAGGCTCTGAGCTGTCAGCCCAGAGCCCGATGCGGGGCTCAAACTTGTGAACCACAAGATCATGACCTGAGCTGAAGTTGGACACTTAATTGACTAAGCCACCCAGGCACCCCTGGGTTAGTATTCTTAAAGAGAAGAGGCTAATTTCTGGTGGAGGGGCCATAATTTGATTTAAAACTCACAAGGCTCTTTTTAAACTTACATAAACTAGCATAACATTGGATTTTTGGAGTACAAATAAATCCTTGTACTTTCCAACCAATGAGGAGACACATTAGTAAGTGTATCTTTTTTTGAAAGAAATGCCTCCATTAATCTCTGAGGTAACACCTAGCACATTTGGGTGGAAACCATTTTTGTTGAGATTAGAACTAAATTTGTTGTTTATAGCTAAAGGTTAAAGGATACTTTTTCTTCTAATCAAGTTCCACAGTGAAGTAATAATTAAAATAACATCGTTCCTAATGATTTGCTTCTCTTATACACAATCTAAAAGGTTTGTTCTCTCAGGATTCCTTTTCTATGAAGGAGGTGTGAATTAGTTGAGGTGCACAAATTAATAATGAGGAGTCTTTTCAAATTAGGGTTTTGTTCCTGACTTATTGTGGAACATGGGATAAGGATTTAAATTATGTACTTCAGATTTCACACAAGTAAATTGTGGATGGATTTGAGTTTCTCTCTCAGTGGTTTTTATATGATTTATCTGATATTTAAGAAGTACTGTATATTAATATCCAACTTAGGTATGATATAATTGTACCTTTCACAAATGGTTGACTTAGTTGTTTGACATACTACTAAGATTGAGAAAAGCGTTGTTTGCAACAATTATTAAAATCCATTTTCTTTTTTAAGGACACCAGTCGGAACCTGCGACAAGTAGACCAGATGCTTGGACAGTATCGAGAATATAGTAATGGACAGGCGGGTGCTATAGAACATGTGAGAATGTTTACATATGTTTGTATTTTTTCTTCCCCACCTTTTTGGAAATGCAGTTGTTGAGAAGTAGGGATCTGAGATAAAGGAGAGAACCACTGTGAACCTTTAGCTTTTAGACTGCTTTACTATTTTATAGTAGGTTAGCTTGTCAGATGGATTGCCAACCAGCTTATATAGATTAGTCTATTGAATTTGAAAGTTTTAAGTCAAAGGAGGAAGTATTCAGGATGTTAATTAAATTGAGACTCACTAAATTCGGGCTGGGGATACTCCTCATGGGAGTTAAGAATTTTATGGAGGGTTTCTTTTAAAGTAATACATGCTCATTGTTTCAATAAATTATAAAACTATCTCTTAGCTCCTCTCAGTTCTACTCCAAAGAGGTAACGATCTGACAGTTCCTTGTGTATCCTTCCAAGCATGTTCTATGCATGTATACACATAACTACCTTATTAATAATAGGAGTTAATTCTTTGCTTTTTAGTTTATTAGTGAAAACTTAAAAAATATTAAGTAGTAGCAGGAACAAACCTACTTTGTCATGTTGAATGTTAGATGCATAATTATGGTAACAAATTCCCTTTGAATTGAGGAATTGAGAAATGAAATTATGTGTTAGATAAACTTCTGTATAGATAAACATTTAAAACACAAAATGTACTCTATGGCATTAAGCCTCTGTAGGAGGCCTAGAGCTGAATGATGCTGAACTTTGGGGGTGTGGTTTTATACACAGGAGGTAAATAAACTCAACAAGTATTCCATTTCCATCTGAGTTATTAAGTACATAGAATGCAAAGCTACTCATAAAATTAAGACATAGGAGAGCAAGAGTCTTTGATTTGCTTTAGGTCATTCCTTAGTCCGGTCTACATTCTCTTCCTTAGTTCCCCCAAATTATTGGTCTGTTAAAACAGTTGGCTCTCAGTGTTTTTTCCCTGCAGCATACAGAGGAGTCTGTCATTCATTGCCTTCTATTAATACTTACTCATGAGAGCGATGATTTTTACCCTGCCACCTGTAAGTTACCTGGGGCAATATCTGCCATAATCTGTGGGAATATGTATAATTTGGAAAGAGTATTTCCCATGACAAGTGATTCTGATGGGCTCCTCAATGAAAATTGCTTTCTTAGCATGAAATCGTTTTATTTACTGGTATGGAATAGATCATACCTTAAAAGTGAGGTGGGTTTTTGTTTTGTTTTGTTTTGTCTTTTTGTTTTTGATTAAGATCCCTTTAGTTCTAATTTATTTTTTAATTTACATCCGAGTTAGTTAACATACAGTGCAATGATGATTTCAGGAGTAACTCCAGTGATTTGTCACCTACGTATAATACCCAGTGCCTATCCCAACAAGTGTCCTCCTTAAAGCCCTGTGCCCAGTTAGCCCATTCCCCCACCCACAATCCCTCCAGCAACCCTGTTTGTTTTCTGTACTTAAGAGTATCTTATGGTTTGTCCCCATCCCTGTTTTTATTTTATTTTTGCTTCCCTTCCCTTATGTTCATCTGTTTTGTATCTTAAATTCCACATATGAGTGAAGTCATATGATATTTGTCTTTCTCTGACTAATTTCATTTAGCATAATACCCTCTAGTTCCATCCATGTTGTTGCAAATGGCAAGATTTCATTCTTTTTGATCACCAAGTAATATTCCATCGTGTGTATACATATATACACACCATGTCTTCTTTATCCATTCATCTGTTGATGGACATTTGGGCTCTTTCCATACTTTGGCTATTGTTGATAGTGCTGCTATAAACATTGGGGTGTATGTGCCCCTTTGAAACAGCACTTTTGTATCCTTTGGATAAATACCTAGTAGTACAATTGTAAATCAATGTGTGTTTTGTTTAGGGAGGGACCCTGGAGAGTAATTTTGTTTTTCTTTTGGAGGCTATGCTGCAACTCCTATAAGTCTTCTTGCTATAAAACCTACTGTTTTCTTTCTTTCTTTCTTTCTTTCTTTCTTTCTTTCTTTCTTTCTTTCTTTCTTTCTTTCTTTCTTTCTTTCGAGAGCAAGAGGGAGAGAGAACACATGCGAGTGAGGGAGGGGCAGAGGGAAAGGGAAACAAAGAATCTCAAGGAGGCTCTGTGCTCAGCTTAGAGACCCCTGTAGGGCTTGATCTCAGATCATAACCTGAGCTGAAATTGAGAGTTGGAGCTTAACCAACTGAGCCACCCTGGCGCCACCGCCCTTTTTTTAAACATTTTTTTTTTTTTTTAGTTAATCCACTATTTAACTGTTAAAAATTTCTCTATGCTAAATATACATTGCCTTGTTGAAATTAGCATTTCTTTTTTGAAATACGAGAGACTTTCTGTAAAGTGAGACCAATTTGCTTGCTATAGGGAAGACAAGAATTTTTATTAACTTAGATTTTATAAATGATTCTGTTGCTCCACCTTATGAAATGGATAAGTGATGTGTTTGTGTATATCTATGCGTATTTAATATTTGTTTTATTGGGTTTTAACTTTGTGAACATAATTTACAAGAAGTTGAGAGGAAATCTAAACATTTGATGTAGTGTTTCCCTCCTGAGATGATCTTCCCCAACAAGAGAACTGTGAGAATTACTCCTGTTGGTTTGTAAAGCCTAAGGGTCAAGAGTCCGGTCACTTTTTTGATGACGTTTACTTGAAATATATACATCATTTCACTTTTTTCCCTTGAATCTTTATAACCTCCAATCCTATATTTTATTTTTTGCTCCTTAAATGTGAAGGTCTCTCTATGAGGAGTTGAGCAGTGTTAAAGCATCAGCAATGGGTCTGTAGGACCTTCTAGAGAAGCAGCGCACCTTCCTTTTCTTGGTCTCTTTGGGAATTTCTCCATATGCTTAGTATATCCCAGACACTTTTTGTATATAAACTCATTTAGTTCTCTCAATAATCCCATTAGGTAGGTACTTTGATTATCCTCATTTGCAAGATAAAAACACCGGGCACAGAATGCTGGCTAACTTGCCCATGGTCTCACAGCTAGTTAGCAACAGACCCATGGATAGGCTGTTATCCCAAAGCTCAGCATCAGGATTCATTTACCTCACTGAGTCATGGTTGCTCACATTTTTGTGATGCTGTGAGTTCATATTTCTGAAGATTGGGATTTTGGATTCAAAGTTTGAAGGGCTAAATACTTTATGTTGCTAAACTACGTTTTAGAGATTATTCTAACTGACTGAACAGCAGAAACCCACTGTCACACAAGTCATTAATGTTACAGCTGATACAATGTCCAGAATGAGAGTTAGGTGAGACAAATAGAGAAATAGAATTGGGAAGAAATCTGGCACTGAGCTAGAATCGGCATTGACAGATTGTCAAAGTTGGCAGGTCTAGCTGCCACTTAGGCAATATGTGGGTTCTGCAACTTGCCTACATCAGCATCAATTTTTCCCTTCCTCCTAAATAACAACCACTGATTTTTTTTTTTTTTTTTTTTTTTTTAACTAGCCTTTTTTGCAGCCATTCCAAATGAGCCGTATTTAGTTGATAGTATGTCTCAGGGTCTTTGGGCCCAATGAACTTCTTGACTTTATGGAGTGTCAATTTGCATTATTTCTCATGCTGTAAATTTCTTGGGAGGTCTGGGACATTTGGGCAAAAGGGGACCTGTGGGGAAGGTTTTATTTGAAAGCTTACTGTGAAGATTTAGAATATATTATACTCCTGTACTAAATAGTGCAATTGATAAGCTTAGTATTTAAAATATTTCTAAAACTGTGCATTCCTATTCATGAGAGAATGGGGTCTGTTTTTGTGTTAATACTGTAAAAATGGAATGCCCTCAAGAAAGAATATTCAACATAAAAAGTTAATACCTTTTGCATTGGAAATTTGGACTGTAGCTGAGACTCCAGTAGTTAATATTGGTTATAAAAGAAAAATACAATTGTCTTGATTCAAATCAGCAGACTTTTTAAGTTCGTATTTTAAAGTAAAGATTGTTGAAAATATCATAATATCAGATTGGTGAAGATATAGTAATATGAAATTAGAACTTAGGAGACTTGCATTCATATGTAATTTCTCTTCTAATTAAGTACTCTGATTAAAATTTCCTTTTGAGAGTAATAGGATGCTACCATCTGGCATATGGACTTTGGAAATTTGAATGTTAAATAAAAAGTGGAGGTTTTTTTGTTCTATTCAGTGGGTTTCACTTCTCAATATACTTAGTGACATCCCAGAATGATAATGGTAATGGTTGAGGGCCAGGCACAAACCACTTGTAATATCCCAAAGCTAATGGTATCTGCCCTTTTTTTCTGGCTGAGTTTTCCTAATTGTCCTGAAGGTGAGACTTGTTCAGTCTTTTAATAACGTTAAAGTTAAGTAGTAAGAGTCTATGGGTAAGAAATTATAATCAAACAAATTCTGTTATGACTTTTTTATAAATGTATTTTGGATCTTAAGAATTAGTTTCTTGGCGTATATTTAAAATTATATTACTAAGTCCTTCATGAAACTGCTGGACAGGAGAATAATTTTTACAGAATTTTGCTTTGAGGGTAATGGAGAAATGTAGACTGTGGAGTCAGACTTGAAATTTAATCCTGATTTTTCCACTAGAAACCATTTCATTGACTTTGGACAAGTTATTAAACTTTTCTAAACTTGAGTTTCATCATCTGAAAAATGAACATAGTTATATATCCCTCATTATAACTAACATTAATTGAAGTGGTCACACAGTCACACTGTTTAGAAACTTGCTAAACATTCATGTTTCTGTTGTTTCTTTAATTCATCTGATAATCCCTACCTTGAAGCATTTGCTGTGTTCTTTTTAAAAAAAAATTTTTTAATGTTTATTTTTGAGAGAGAGAGCGAGTCTGTGCATGCGCACGTCAGGGAGGGGCAGAGAGCAAGGAAGACACAGACTCTGAAGCAGGTTCCAGGCTCTGAGCTGTCAGCCTAGAGCCCAATGTGAGGCTGTAACTCACGAGCTGTGAGATCATGACCTGAGCTGAAGTCAGATGCTT